TGCTGTTGCACCGAGTAACTGACGTGCTGTTTTCAAAAAATAGTAGTAATAAAAAACAGCCAGCAAAGATGCTGGGGAGCGCTTCCCACGGCACGGGGTGCCCCGGGCTGTGATCCCATCAGGTGGACAGCTGGGGCTGTGGAATGCGTTTCACTCTCACTTAATGTTCACCCCCGCGACCTGCGTCCTGCCGCTGCGTGACCGGCGTGGGCAGAGCCCGGCCGTCCCCCCGCGGCCCGTGCTGCCTGGAGCTTTGCGTCCCTGCTGGCCCAGGGCCACTGTTAGCCAGTATACTGCTGGAGTTCTTCCTGAGCAGGGGTCAGGAAAGACCCAGGAAATCCCATGAGGATTGGTTTTACAAAAAAGATGGCTGCCTCAGAATTGAAGGTGCCTTCCCGTATACCTCACGTAACCCCAAGGTTAACAAAGGATTTAGTTTGATTACTGAAGGAATTACATTGTGTTGGGGGTTGGAAAGAGGATTAAGCTTTTCTCCAGGGGAAACAGAGTTGTGAGAGAGAGAGAGACTAAGACAAATCAACTGAGGTAGAAGGACAAGGCTGGAAAGGGAAGCAGGGTGGCCATGTTTATTGCAGGCCTATGGCCAGGGATTTTGAGGGCAATAACTAAGCAAAACTTTTTTGCCATTATGAAAGTGTAAGATTGGAGAGGCCCACTCAGTAGAAAGGTAATCTCAGGCTAGTCATTTTTAATTCACAAAGAGCTGAGTAACTCCTTGTCATACGCAGTTACTGCTCATGAGGCCTGTAGGTCCTTTCTGGCCATTTGCTTGGGGACTTACGGTCCCTCTTTAAAACTCACCATGCTGGCCTGGCAAAGAGGTGGAGCTGTGCTCCACCAAGTGTTACCCAGCTCCTTCAAAGTGCAGTGTTTTGTATCTTTAAAGGGCTGCGTGCTGCAGGCTGCGGAAAGCAGGGCTGCTGGGAAGGGAAAATGAGAGAAGGAATGGGAGCTGATAGAGCAGGGTTGTAACGGGTGGCTATGATGAACTGTTAAAAACATGTCACATGAGAAAAAGTGCATGTCATGGGGGGGGTCCAGTGAAAACCGATGAAGGTTAAGAAATGGGACACCATCACTGAGGCTGTAGCAACAGGAATAAACAGTGTCTGTGAGAGCCAGATCTGAAATGGACAGCCCCAGTCTGCTTCAAAACAAGAATATAAATAAATAGTTCTGGCAGAAGAACAGAGGCAGCATACTAGTGCTTGTTACCCAGCAAGCTGCTCCTTTGAAGCTTATATCAGCAAGCTTCTGCTTTTCTGGTGTGAATGCCTCATTTTTGCGCAAGGATAGCTTTTTATGCAGTAACTAGGATTAAATCAGCTTCTTAGAGAGACAGTTTGGGGTGTTTGCAGCTCTTCTTGTAGGTTTGCTATGTTGGTACTTGTTTTTGATTCCTTGCACTGTCTTCATTTTCCATTATTGCTTTCTCTTTTTGAAAAGATACCAGGAAATTTGAAGCTTGAATTCAAGTGTCAAAATTGGTTAAAGCAATGATTGGAGTGGAAGCAGCATTATCTGTCTGTGAGGTCTTGGTACTCACGTAGCTTGCTATTCTTGCCTTTGCTTGACTTGCCCCTGCAGGCTGTCCATTTTAAGTTCACCAGACGAGTGCTCTGTAGGGAGCATAGTCATTAATTTAAATTTGTAAATTCAAGTAAGTCCAGGGAGCTTTAACAGCACAGCCCATGTCTTAGTACTTTCATATGTTGAAGGTCTAGGTAGGAGTTATAAAACACATTTCATTATTTTCTTTGTAAAGAAACTTTTACTGTTGTTGAGTGATGGTGAGCAGTCCTAGAGTCAGAAGTTATTTGCTTACAATGCATAGAACAATAAGCTATAAATTAGTTGTTACCACTCAGGAAAGAGACAAAGAGATGGTCAGAAGTGCTACTAGAGGAACTAAGGAAAACCAGTTAACTTTGTGGTGCTCCTCGGTATGTTCATCTTGAGTACATGGTTCTGGTGATCCCCCTTCACAAGAACAGTGTAATATGCTAAAATAGGTACAGAGAATGGCAGCCAGGATGATCAGCAGTATTGACTGGTTTCCACATGAGGAAAAGACTAGACATACTAGGGTTATTCAATATGGCGAAGAAGCAGCTGTGGAGGATATTCTAGAAGTTCATGAAGTGAAGAGTGGAATGGAAAAGGTGAAACTGAGAAGCGGCTGTTGATTGTCTCTCACAAAACAAGAAGTAGGAAGCACTGAATGTAATTATCAGGCAAAGGTTGTAGCTTTTATGCAACGTGTAATTCATCTTTGGAGTTTATTGCTGTGGGATATGGGAGAAGCTGAGACTAAAAAAATTACAAAGCAAGTTCTTTGTCCATGAGTGGCTATTTAGCACAATGGATTGGAGGAGACCTTTGCCTCTGAAGGTCTCTAAACATCAGCTTCTTGGGACCTGGGAAAGTAGGCTAGGGCAAGAGTCTTTCAAAACTTGGCTCATTCTTATGTTCCCTTCCCAGACATCTGGTACTGGCTGTTGGGAGAAATAGGGCACCACCTAAAGATCTCCAACCCAGTGTGCCATTTCTCCTGTTCTTACAGAACAAAAGCCTGATTAGGGGAAGCCCAGCCATTATACCTCATAAATGCCTGCCATTACAGTATTATCAGTTGTGTGGATAATTGCATGAGATCCATCTGGCTGGCTGGCAAAAGGAGGTCACATGTGAGAAGTTACAGTAAGTGGAGGTGAGAATCATTGAAAGAGTAATGGCCTTGTGTTCCCTGCATAGCTTTGCATCTTGCCTCAGTCGTTTCTTAAACATACTCTTTTTCTCTACTTCTTTCTTAAGTTCATTTGAAAGAGATGTTTTTCCTTTGTAAAACTGTAAGGCAGTGGTTCTGGTACTATTGTCTGTGTAGAACTGGTTGTGCGATACTGTCTTTTTTTCCTTGGTTCTAGTTAATAAATTGCACTAAAAGGGAGTAAAATACATTAAATTTTCATACCTATCATTTTCATACTATTTTCTCGTGTTAGCTGCAGCTGAAATTCCTATTAGAATGTTATGTCATCAGTGATGGGTGGAGAACTGGGCCTCTCTGATAGTAAATGAGAAGAAGGGTGAGTCTCCATTAAGATTTGTCTTAGTTTGTTCACCAAAGTGACCCTTCCCTTACGAGCTTATACAAAATGAGAACCAGTTTCACAATATATCACTGAGGCACCAAGTTCTTTCTCTTACACAAATCTGTAATAAACACCCCACCATATTAATCAATCAGAATGTAGCCTGACATATGGTGCTCAAAATATGTTGTAAATAAATAATCAAAGTCCTATATTTTTTATATTGCTTCCTTTCTGGTGATGGATTTCAGTTCAGGTCTCCGAATGTTCCTGGATTAAAGGTGAAGTGAGGAGTAATAAAAATTATGAAAGAGCCTTCATTTTCACTGTTAGTAAGGAGACTAACCTAATGTCTTACAGTTGTGCATTTCTCAGAGGGGTTTTTTTTCCCCTTTTTCAAGATGATAAGTAGACCAGTGGGTACTGTTCTAAATTTGATACTACCTCTTGCAAATGTAAGGGACAAAATGCCTGATATTACCATGATCATTTGAGGATGCTGCAGAAGAAAGAACTCTGAAGGTGAAGGCTGATGCAGTTGTAAGAAATTAACTCAGAAACTGGCAGCCTCATGGTTTAATATGCCAGGTTATTATTGTTCATTTTGTATGGCAAGAGTGCTGGTAACCATAGCCAAAAGTAAGAGCTTGCTTTATTATATTGTCATTTACATTAAAGACTGGGACAAAGCCCTCTGTTCCCTGGAGACAGAGGGAGTTCCAGTTCTGACTTCTGTGGAGTTAGGACTTCAGCCTGGGTTTCTCAGGCAGCCAAACAGCTGAGATTACTTCTGTATAAAATAATCCACAGTCCTGATTGTCCTTTCTTTCCTTTCCAACCCCTTCTGACTTGTTTCTTTTTTTTTCCTTTTTAAATTTTGATTCTCTTTTTTTCATCAAGAACTCTAACACAGAAAACATTAATTTACTTTTATATTTTCTTTCTTATTTGGAAGGCAGAAGTTGTAACAAAATAAATAAATGAAGTGAGGTTATAGTGGAATGAAAGGAGGAAGAACAGGAAACGTGAGGAAAATTAAGCAGCAGTGTCCAAACCTCTGTATCTGAAGTCAGTGGCAAAACTCTTCTTAGATTGCAATCAAGTACTTAAAAGAACGTGTGCCTGTTCATTGCAGGTTGACCTCACGCGCACCTTCACCTTCCGCAACTCCAAGCAGACATACACAGGAATTCCCATTATAGTGGCAAACATGGACACTGTGGGGACATTTGAAATGGCTGTGGTTATGGCAAAGGTAAGTCTTGATTCTCATTTCTGCAACAACTGGGAATCCACTGGGTGACAATGAGCAGCCTTTGTTACTTTTTAGCTATGTTTGTTGGAGAACAGGGGGGCATGAATTAAAAAATCCAGAAAAAGAAGGTGTGGTTTCACTGCAGAGCAGCTGTGCTTTTACAGCAGTACAGTTACCAGAGGCAGGGCTCCAGATAGAAGATAGTTTCAATGGAGATGTTTACTGGGAAGCATCCATCTCGGGTGTAGCTCAGCTTCAGGTGAAGCTTCTAAGAGCTTACTTTTTGAGGTCTATATTGTGCTCCCTTCCAGAAAAAAATTATTAGCTGACAACGGTTTTGAAAGTGTAGGTTACGGGAGAAAGCTGCAGCAGTCAGGAGTCACTAGTTAATTAGCCTCTGGCCTCAAGGCTCACCTTAATTTCTTAACAGTTCTTAGGCACATTCAAAATACTGACCGTAACTTCATGAAACACATCAGAAACCTGATCTTGAAAGGTCAACTAAGTATGCTAAGTTACCTTTGAAGAGCCCTTTGGAGTTGCCTGGTCTGTTACTCACTAGTACTGTTTCTTTCCAGCAGGATGAACCTATACTTAAAATGGGAATTTCTGATATCTTGTTATTCTGCAGCTGAGGGAAAGACGACTAACTTGGACATTAATATCAGTTTTCTTATTTTTGCTAGCATGCAATGTTCACAGCAATTCACAAGCATTATTCTCTGGAAGAATGGAAAATGTTTGCTGCCAATCACCCAGAATGCCTTGAGGTACATTTTTGTACTGTAAATTATTATGGTTTATTGCTTTGTTCTGAACTCACATACACTGGAGTCTCTTGGGAATACTGTTGTCAAGTGAGGTTTTGGGGAATGAAGATATTTGCTGTTCTTAAATGCATCAAGAGTAGTGGCTTGTCCTGTTTTAAAAAGAATAGCAATGTGAGTCCATTATGAAAATGCTTATATTAAGATGCAAAAAAGCAAAGTTTATATATGCCTGGAATGGAAACAGAGAAGCATCCTGAACAAAGAAGAAGGAAATACTTGGGAATAGGTCTAACTGCTGTGCTTCTGTTACTGTTGGGAGCTGTGGTAGCGCTGGGCAGGGAAAAGGCTAAGACCACAAATGCAAATAGCCTTGAGTAACCCAACCACAAGCTGGCGCTACATGCCCTTGAGCCAGCCAGAGTCCTTGCCGTCAGATGTGCAAGCGGACCTGGAGCCTGGGGAGTGGAAGGGGCCCAGGTGCTGGGCCCAAGCAGGGATGAGCATCGAAAGTTGTCAGAGCGTATTTACTTCTTGCACTAGAGCTCATGGTGTGCTACTACTAGCTGTGCTGCCCCACTTGTTCACAGGGTCCTAGCCTGAGCTATTACAGAGAAACATCATTTAGTAAATTTAAACATTGACTTAAGTTCTGACTTTTTCATATCCAGATTTCTTCCGTGTTCTTCTGGCAGGCCCCTACAGAGGCAGTATAAGAGCATATCTGGCCATCTCCCCTCCTCAGGAGTTCAGTGCAGTTTTGAAACTTGTTCTGTATAGAAAAGAATACCACACAGCTGTATTCTATCTTTACCTGTGGCACATTTTAGAATTATATTATAAAGACTATTGATTACAGGATTGTCTGAAAGCTAGCCTGTCACTTAGGTTCATCAGGGTCCTTATATGCCACTACAGGGTAGAAGGTGGTCCCAAGAATATTCTGTGGCTTATTATGGAACACTTTGGCATTTTGCTTACTTGTGGTTCACAGTCACTGGAGTAGGATCTCCTAGTTGATTAAATACTGACTTGCTCTGTGACCTTGGATCTCTGCAGATGTTTTGTGGGCCCACAGCTGTGGAAACTATTCTGTCAGAACGAGCTCATAGGAAGACAAAGGAGGAAGCAATCTGCTTGTTTTCAATAGTAGCTGACCCTGCTTGAGTAAGGGGGTTGGACTATACAATCTCCAGAGGTCCCTTCCAAATGCAACTGTTTTGTGATTCTGTTGATCCAAGGGAGTGTCTGGTGAACTTAAAGACCCAGATTCCACTCTCTGACAGTGCCCCAGATTTTGCCACTCTGCCTTCCTGGAAATATACCAAGTTAGGGATTCTTCTGTGTTTGTCTTAGTATGAGTACCGCTGAGCCTTCATCCATCCCAGGTGGTTATATATTTGCCCATGAGAATACACTTGTGAATGAAGAGCTGATAAAATGCTAATTTTGCTTTATTTTGGAGCCTTTAAGCAAAACTGAAGTAATACATTGCTATTCCCAGGAAGGTATTTATTTCATATTCTATAGTATGATTTGTATGATTTTCACTAGTTTACAGCACAAGTCCTCCCACCACAATGCAGAAAAAGACATACGAACTGTGTATTTTTTCCAGTTTTTACAAACTGCTACTCCATTTTGTTCCCTCTGTCTTTCTAGCATGTAGCAGCAAGCTCAGGTAGTGGAAAAGCTGACTTGGACAAGTTAACAAGTATTCTAGAGGCCATTCCACCTATCAGATACATTTGCCTGGATGTAGCAAATGGCTATTCAGAGCACTTTGTGGAGTTTGTGAAGTCTGTCCGTGCCCTGTTCCCACATCACACCATTATGGTAAGTGTGTAAAAAGGGTGGAGGGAGCGTGTGGGAATTCTGTCCAGGAACAGGGCCCAGAGTTTGACTGGTAGGCATCAGAAGCTGTGTGGTAGCTCCATTCATTTCTGAGTGCTCATTTAAAAAAAGGAAGGAAAAAAAGAAAAGAAAGTTGGACTCAAACCTCTTGTCTTCCATACAAATACATGTGGACAGATACCCTTCTGAGAATACAGAGGGCAGGTCTATTCAAAAGTACCCTTTCAATTCAGCAAGATGTTGACTCTGAGCCAAATGTTGACTGTTTAATAATGTCAGCATTGTCAGTCTTCCATTGCTGATAATTTCTGTGGGAATGTTCAATGTGTGCTCTGATACAGCAGTTTGATGTTGGCATGGCAGGCTGGGTGGATCCAATTTTTTTCCTACTCACATCCTCCTTCCCACACCAGATGTGACCTCTAATCATAAAGTGTGTAGGTTTACTTTGGTGATTCCAAGCTGAGGTTTGCTGTGGGAATGCACCAGTGTTTCTGGCCAACTGAGGCCAATGGCTGTTTTCGTCTGTTAGATCACTATGAAGACAGCTGAATGTAGACTAATCCTTGCCTACAATAAGAATCATACGGGTGTTGTACAATTCTGAATGGGGTCATCAGGGAGCAAAATAGTCAATGCTGGGGCTTTTCATGCGCCTTCTGTGATGTTACTATCCCTTCTCAGAGTGCTAATGCTGCTTCCTCCAGCCCTTTTGCACTAAGAGTAGGGTGTTTGCATTGACACAGGACTCCTTGCAGCAGAGCCCTACTGCTCCTGCTTGTTTCCCAGGGCCCTTGAAGAAACGAGTCTGAATTTGTTTCCATGAGAATAGCCGAAATTCTCAAACGAGCGGCAGATTCTTAGTGAGGCTACCAGCCTTTCTTCAAGCCAGTGCAGCAAAAAATCATGTGTTTAGGCAACACCGTCTCACTTTTTTGTGCCAGACACAAAGCTTCACACCTGTAAAGTAAATGTGAAGTAAAAATGGTCATAAATGCACACTCTGACTTGGTTCAATAGGGAACTGCATGTTCAAGCAGCTTAGGGAGACTACATTCCTTCCTCCCAAGTCAGAAGAAGGCAGTGTTATTGCCTCTGAATGATGGTGGTATTGGAAAATGGAAGTGGTCTGGAATGCCTGTGTGGCATCCTTCAAAAGCTACCAGCAGACGTGGGACGTTTTTTGGTATGGCCATATTTCCCATGGCTTTCGGGAGAGCTTTTGGAAGTCTGAAATGATAGATGTGGGCTTTTTGAGCTTCCTGCTCCATGTTCACTGCAGTGGGGGAAAGAGCTGTTTCCTTTCTTTGGATCTGAAGTATTGTCCCTGGTGATGTGATTACTCCAGGGTCTTTGGCTTGAAGTGTTGTGGGAGGGAGCTTAACCGCATAGTTAAAAAAAAATCTTCCCTATCAGGAGTGGAAAGAAAATTGTGTGTCATCCCCTCCTCCACCTCCCCATAGACTGCTGACTTTGCTGACTGAGGAGGGAACTCAGCCAAGATGAATTGCTCAGAAGGCACGAGAGGTCAATGTCAAAGTCAGGTATCAAGCCCAGATTTTAGTCCAAGGTCCTTAAGCCAGTCTCCCACAGCCACCTCCTGCATCTGTTAAGCTACCGGCTTAGTTTCTCTGCTTCTGTGACTAAGGTTACTGTTACTTCAAGTCTCATCGTCCTGACAGCACCACCTGCTTGAGCACATATAGAGCCCTGACCTGTTCAATTGTCTTCTCTGATTGTAGGTCCTTGCTCTGAACATGATTTAGTATGGCTCATGTTTTTCATCTCCTGTACAGAGATAATTTCCAATTCCAAAAGGCATGTTAACAAACTTGGGATGTTCAAAAACCTTCTGTTTTCCAAAGCTTCCAGAGTCTGTGCAGTCCCTGAAAGTTTCTGATTCAACTAGGGACACACACCTCTATCCCACTTCCAAATGAGTTTACTTTACACTCTGCCAAAATGTCCTTTTGAAGCTATTCCTGGCTGAAATGCAGGAGCTCGTCTAGGCTCCTTTTTATGATACTCTAGAAGACACGTCCTGCTGCTACCTGTGCTGTCTGCTTTGATGTCTCTGTGCTATGCCTGCAGCATGCTCTCTGCTGTTGTGGATTTCAAACAAAAGGGTTAGCAGTTAAATAGAAGGTATAAAAATAAAGAAGGTTTCTCATAGCTGAAAGTGATCTCCAGGACCTTGCAGGCTGTCCTGTTTGCTTTCCTCAGCATGACCATTCATTCTACAGTCAGCTGCAGTGCAGTACATAACAGTAACTCAACCCCGGATCTCAGGGAATGTGTGTTCCCAGGGGCCACGTAATGGGTTCAGCTCTGAGGCTGAAAGGTGATGTGCAAAGCAACTGTGCTTAACGTAGTACTCCAGTGCAGATAGATGACGTCTCTTGTGTAACAACCTTTCAAATGCATGTTTTTGTGTTTTAAAATACTTGCTTTTATAATCACATTACTTTATTTTCTTCTGCTTGGCTCTGACACAAACTCTTTTCACTCCTGCCTTTCATATTAATTTACAAAGAAGATCAATTTCTCCGTGGAACACAAAGGATAGGGAAGACAAATGGGGGGAGCACAAAGGTACAACATGACTTGCCTTAAATCACTCATTAGACTGAGGATGGAGGAAGAAGCAGTATTCAAGTCTCATGAGTGTCTCACAAATGCAGCACTGTCCCCCAGAATCAAGAGTAATGGTCCAGTGGGGTGTTTTGCTGTAGCACAGCATCATGTGCTTGGCTTGTGCCTACTCACTAAAGTCTAAAGCAAAACTTCAGTTGACATTCATGATGGAGGGTCAGAGCCTTTATATTACAGTAAGCGCAGTCCTTATTCATTAGTGTAATTGTAGACGTTAGAGTTCTTCCATTTCACTGGAAGTCTGTTTAGCAAGCTAAGATACCTTTGCCAGCAACCTTTGCCAAGTTTTTATCCTGGATTTTTCTTTTCGTAGTGTTGTCTGTTCATTATACAGAAGAAATCCTAGGGAGGAGAGCAGGGACTGTGGCAGGAAGGAAAAGGCTGGGATAGGAGCACACTTGCAGATGCAGTAGCACCCACAAGATGTGGGCCAGAGAGGGAGGCAAGTGAAATTGCAAAGCAAGAACAGAGGGAAACAGCAGGGGCCAGAAACTGTTGCTTCCCTTGCAGACAGTAGCAGAACTTTTCAGGGCCTTGGTGGAGGCAGAATTTAGGCAGAAAAAGCCATGCAGACTGCTCCCAGTTCATCTCTGGAACAAGCAGCAGAAGCAATCCTGTCATGGTGTGTCCACCAGGGCTGGGGCCAGCTGGGATCCCAGGGTAGGAGGCAGCGTTGCTGCCCAGGGCTGCCTTGGGTCAGTCACAATACTGAGTGCAAACACCCACCTGGTATGGCTTAGCCTCGTAAAGGGCATCATCTCTCCATCTTGCAGTAAAGCACCCCTTGCTTTGGTGGGTGGAAGTGTCCTTTGGCAGTGTTCCTGATAGCATGGAGGCACAGACTGTGCTTTCCTCTAGGATACAAGAAGAAAGTTTGAGAACTGTTGTCACAGACACTTCTCCCCAGCTCAATCCATTGCCATTTGCCAGCAGCTTTCAATCAGTGCAGCAGTGTTCCTGTCTTAGTCAGTGTGAGTTGATATTTATAGCAGGCTTTTTATGAGGCACAGTATCAAATGCCTGACTGAAATTCAGAGGCACTGCCCTACTGTGTTCACTAATTTTCTATCTGTCGGAGAAGCTGTAGCCTTTATAATCCTGTTAGGTGAAATCTTGATCCCATTAAAGTCAGTAGTGAAACTCCCTTTGACTTATTCTGAGGCCAGGATTTCCCTCAGGAGTGACCCTCAGTTCAGTCGTCCTGGATAGCACTGGAATGAGCCAGGGTGATGCTCACTTGAAACCTCATACGGAGCGATGGTACAGCTGAATGTTACCCCGAGTGTGTGAGGCCAGGCCCACAGCCAGAGGAATTTGCTGTTGCCCTAATAACTAACCGCACTGAAAACATGATAGTTTACCTTACTTCTACTTGTTACTGATGCTGTTACTTTACTGCTGGGGGTAGCAAAATTAGATTAACAGTAAGGTAACTACGGGGCTATACCTCTTTCAAGAAAGCCGGTTCTGCAGCAGATTAGAAATGCGTTGGTACATGGACTCATCATTAAGATGAGCATAGTTTTCACTAACAAAATACTTCCACTAATTTCTGTGTTCCCTGACTGCTTGCCCAAATATGCCACAGAAGTCTGTAGTGACTTCTTTGTACAAGTTCCAATTACTTTACTTGCTTTATATTCTTAGTTAATTTTAAGGGGCTTTCATCTCTGTAGTGTCAATCTTTCTATATTCACCTTTTCAGATTTTTTTTAGTTGAAGTATTCTGGCTTTATCTTAGAGGTGGGGCTTTCAAAAGCCCTTTTGCCTCTATTCAGCTGTCATACTGGCATCAATGGTAAAGCAAGCATTGGTTTCAGTGGAAGGAAGAGTTCAGCTGGATGTGAGAAAACAGCTTTCCCTGCTCTTCAGCTGTGATACTAGGGTCTCATCACATACAGATAGCTTTGTTTCTCTTGTAGTGGTTTTTTTGTGCTCTCTGAGATCTGCAAAAAGGTACCTAAAAGAAACAAGCCTGTCATTGTCAGGTTGAAGTCTGCTATGTAGAGCTCCATTTCTTCCCTGAAAATTTGTTAAGGATCTGCAGATTCAGAAAGACAGAAACCACTGATGTGTGTACATGCATTCCAGGAAAAAATGTATGGTAGGGACATAAGTGCTTTTCCCTGCTAGGATGAGCATTTTGAATCAACATATGCAGTTCCAACACTCTCTAGCAGTAACTTAACATTAAACATCTGGTTAGCATTTCTGAAGAGACAGTTTGACAACGCGCCATGCTCTGCTAATAAGAAGACACTGCTGTTTAAGTTAAATACATATTTGATCCCAAATCTCATGGAGCCACTGACTTTAATACCCATTCATTC